GTTCCAATGGCGACTGTGTATTTGATGAAAAAAATGAAAATTTCCCATTCAAAAAAAAAAAAAAGAACATGCTAAGCATAATTCTAAGAATAGGGCTGCCGAGACAATGAAGATTAAACCATTGAACTCAATTACATAAGAAGTCACGAAGCAAGTATTGATAGATGAGGTAAGCACTTTTTTTTTTTTGGTTAAATGATGCACAACTCTCAGCAATAACCTAATATTTATTAATCATCATCGAATTGTACTTGTAAGTGATTCCGAGCAATTAAGAAAAGATGGCCTAGTGATGCGTCTAAGACAATCTACATACAATAAGATAATACAAAGCCTCATATTGAGGACAATGATCCGGAAGTCCGGAATGGCAATCAGTGATGGATTTTATATTCATTTGGTATTTCAACCGCCTAACAGTCCGGATACAAATATAATGTTCTAAGGTGGTTTAGATCATTGCAGTTTTTACAAATATCAAAAGTAAGCTACAATGTTGAAGAACTACTAAAAACCGTTGCCAATTCTTTTAAAAAACTATCAGACACAACTTTTAATAATATTTTCATCACATTACAAAAGTGTCTAACGAAAATTCTCAAGTGTCAAGGTGACAACGACTAGAAGATACCGTATATGGGCAAAACAACGCTTGCAAGAAAAGTTTTACTTCTTACCAATTTGGAGGTGGATCAAGAATTTGTCAAGTTCACACTAGAACAGCTCTTCGAGAGTAATGAAGCCGTGGACATTGAAAAAATCATCACACTCATGGAGAGTATGACTTAGGATCTTGTTTTTATTCAAAAAATTGATGTTTTTGTATGTGCATCAGATCATTAGGTAGGATTTTTTTTTTTAAATAACTATGGGATTACAAGTATGTGAAATCTATTTCCAATCAGTTTTAAATACTTGTAATCTTTTTTTGATATAGTGTAATATATGAACAATCATTCATATAACTTTGATGTTTGTATCATCAGGCTACATGTCCACTTTCAAATTTTAAAATCATCATCAAGTAGAATTTGATCTTATGGAACAATTGTTGGATTAGTTTAGGGTGTGGGGATTAGTTTCATATAATACATTCATCATCAAGTAATAAGAAGATGAGCTAATCCTATAATTAATCATCACCAAGTGTAATCAAATCACTATCAGATATGACTAATAGGACACAGGGATAACCGGATAGACACGAACGTGCACGCATCTACGAGGGGTAACAAAACATTGTGGAATTGTTTCAAAAACCTCGTAGATTATAAAACAACTTTATTTACCTAATCCGTAGCATATTTCTTATCACAATATCTCATATACTCAAACTCCCAACAACCAAACATATAAGTTTCACGTAGCATCACATATAATCAGGTTGGAGTATCAGTTCAAGCCATTTCACCTCCGATATCGTAATCGCAGAACAAACAATGCTTGGAACACAGCCACAAGTCCCATATTTTTTTCAGCTTCATTCGAATGATTTCTCAAACCGAAAGGAAATTTAATCAATAACTGAACATTTTAATAGGTACAATACACAAATAATATAAATTTAGAAAATAGTGAAAAATCAATTTCTAAAATAACAACCAACTATGAATCTTACCTTTTTTGTACTCCTCAAACTTCATAGCGAACAGACAAAGGATTGGAAGAAACATCAACTACGCCTCGCGAGTGACGGAGGGCTTTTTGGATTTATGGAAGAAAATTTTCGTTCCTTCACCCCCACACCCAACCCTTCTTCACTGTTGAACTTTGAATTAGTGGCAACTTCGTCAGCGTCGCCAAAGCCAAAATCGGAAAACTCGATTTGCAGCGGAAGACACGAAAATGCCAAATCCTACAGCTAATCTGGCTCGCCTTGAGGAGGAGAAGCCATTTCCGAAGTTTTTTGGTCGATTCATCAGCAAAAAATGGCAGCAATGACGAGATTTTTGCGAGGAAAAACTTTAGAAGATAAAAGATCGAATGACTAAGGGACCATGGTAAAAAAGAGAATAGAATTAGGTTAGAGTGACGGTGGTAATTAAGTGAAGTGGGTAGGATATTAATTAGGGTAGGTGGGATAATTTAGTTAATTTGTGTGTTATTTAAATTACCATACTTAATATTTAATATCCAAATTATCTTAAATTGTCAAAGACAAATGTTGCTCGGTGTTTGGGACGAAGGGAGTAATAAATATAAATTAAAATAAATTGATATATTGAATGATAATAAAAAATATATTAATATACAAAAATAGTATTAGGTTACAACATTTCTACATCATTAATAATTATAAAAAAAAATCGATAACTTTTCAATCAAATATGAAAGGTCAAGATTTTCAGCATCTCGATATGCAAGATGAAAATTCACAAATAAGAGAAACTAATACATGAAAAATAAATATTGTTGTTGTGAATTTATTCCCGAATCTTTTGGATTCATCGAATAAAACCTCGTATACAAAATACAAATCAATTAATAGCGAAAGCGATTCATTCGAATAAACCCAAATTAAACAATACCGAAACGAAACTGAAAAAACGCAATTAAAAGACATTGATTTGCTGGAAAATCAAAAGCAAACAAACACGCCTTAAATTGTGCAGAGGAAATACAACACGAAATTGAGTTGGGAAAGAAATTGATACTTCCCTGTTCGTCTCTAAAAAAACAACCGCGAGAAATGTCTATCGATGACAACGTTCGGAAGCGGCTGGCTTGTGACGAACTTCCTCTGGTGGCAGCGTCTCCGATTGGAGATGTCTTCCGGCGACAGCGTACAATAGCTCCGACCAACAGACCCGGACTGCACCGGTCGGCGGCGGCGATTTCTTCTCGGGGACAGCTACTGCGATCTCTTCCGAAAGATTTCGAACGATCCCAATTCTTCTCCGATCTTCCTCAATCTTTCACCAGTGAAGGGACGACGGTTTTCGGCTCATTCCCATGGCTCGCGATGGCCTATGGTAACCACACCTCAATGTGGAGGTTGGCTCTTCACTCCGAGCCTCGACACTCAATGGAATCGGCCATCGGAAAAGAGGTTACTCTCATCGGAATCACACGCCGGAAGTCGCCCAAGAAATCTCGCCCTCACTCTCTCTATCGGATCCTCAACCACACTTCTTGAATCGGTTTTCACCACATCAAAAACTAACTCCCAGATCTCACTCTCTATATCTCATAAAAATATGTTTGAGGTAAATGGATTGGATTAGGATTAAAGGGATGGGCCGATCTGGTGGACCGAACTAAGAAGTGGACAAACTAATTATTTATTATCGTGAGACTCGTTAGATTAGGCCTAGAGCGGCCAAAATTTTCAACAATTGCTAATGATGCGCGGAAATGAGAGCGTAATATGAAATAAAAATGACGAGAATGTAGATAAATAATAATAATGGTGATGAATAATAGTATGTATTTTTAATTTTTTTTATATTTTTATTTAATAATTTGTTTTTTTTTTTTACATAAATCAATAAATTATTTTATAAGTCTATGAAATTTATATAAATAATCCAATCAAATTCATCAAAATTTATTTAAATCAATTAATAAAATCCACCAATATGTAACATGAACTTTATAAATTTGGGGTGTATTTTTCCACCTAGTTTTGGGGATTCCAGCCCAGTTTGAACAGTAATCCAACCCAAAACTGGACTGGATGGGTTTTGGGGGACACAACCCGGCAAACGTTAACCTTTTATTTTATTTATTTTTTTTGTTTTTTAAAATTATAAATATAAAAAAATTATAATAATTATAATTTAATAAAATATATACAATATATAATTTAATTTAGTAGAGAATGGAATTGGAGAGAAATGAAATTGAGTAGAGAATGAAAATTAATTTTTTTTTTTTTAAATAGAGAATTCAGTTGAAAAATATATAAAAACAAAATGCAACTACACGAATGATCAAATAAGAATAAATGATTAACCGGATAATAAGAGAGTTTTAACTAATAATAATTCATGAAAAATATAAATTATATATGATGTTTTTTAAAATTATATTTTAGTACAATTTCTTAAAAGATCGTAAACATTAAATACTTTAACAATAAATTAAATTTGTTTTTTTTTTTGTAAAATTGAAATAATATAATTTTTAAAAAATTATAAAAATTAAATATTACAAAAAAATTTAAAAAGAATACACTACAACATCATTTCTCTCTATTTATCAGCATATGAGAGAGAAATGAAAATAGAGAAATGACTCGAACAAATAAGAGAAATGATGTCATTTTCATTTCTCTGGCATCATTTATCATTTATCTGTATAAAACATAACATTATAATCAAATTATACATTTTAATACACACTTATATTATTATATTCATTAAGGGTGTGTTTGTTTGAAGGATTTTGGTGGATTTCCACTATTCATCCAATTTTTTTCCCCCAAAAACATCAAATCAAACACCTATTTTTTATTTTTTATATTATACTAAAAATCAATTTTACATTCAAAACATCACATCAAACCCTATTTATATCACATCATACAACTATTCAAATTCAAAATTTTTACTATTCAAATCCCAACTCAAAATCCAAACCCCAAACAAACACACCCTAATATCAAATCAGTACACATCAAAACTCTCCGAACACAATTCAAACCTAAACACAAAAGAAACACACACCATTGTAAAATCAACACAAATCCATAACCGTTTTAAAATAGAATACAATCCTATAAAATCTCAGTTATACGTATATACCAACACAGAGGTATCGTAGATGTTTCTATATAATTCCACAAATTTGCTATGCATTTACTACGTTGTACTATGGTAGAAATAATTAATATTTTTATAGAATAATTTTATAATAATACTATAATAATAGCGCAACACAAATCAAATACTGCCAATTGAAATTATGGATAACCGGTTCACGAGAGGCACTTTGGTGAACCGCGAACGGTCGTCATCAACCGGCCAAAACCTCTTCTTCTTTTCCATAAAGAGCAAACTTCGTGACAAAGTCGTTTCTGTCGATGAAGTTTACCGCCGAAAGGAGAAAAAGAAGTAATGTCGAGTGACGACGAAGATTTCGTGTTCTACGGAACGCCGATCGAGAGGGAAGAAGAAATCACGACCCGGAAGAAGAAGGCGGTCGCGGAGGCCTCTGGTCAGCTCAGAACTGCTCTAGCTCCCTGGAAACAAGAGGTGAATGCATCGATTGCATTCATATTACGGATAATTAATTATCACTTTCGTATTTTTATATTTACAATTGAAATAGTTTTTTGGCTATTTTGAATCGTGGGACTTTGAGTTGGATTATTTTATGGTTCTGATTATATTCTTAGGGTGGGTGCACTCTGATTTCTGTGGGTTCTGAAGTTCGTGACTTTTGTGGCTATAATTTTACAACTCAGTTTGGGATTCGATAGTTAAAGTAACTTTGATGTTCGAGAGCTTTTGTATTCAAATTGGTTTTATACATTGTGATTGATAGGTGCTTCTATTGAACTGTTGAAGGGAAGTTCAGTTCAATTTTAGGGTTCTTTTTTACACAAACAATTTTTGGTATTTTAGGATGTCATTCTTTTCTCCCTATTCATGGAGTTCAATTTAGGTCCAAGTTTTAATGAATACTATTACTGAATAAATATGTCAATTATATATATTTATATATTTGTACATATTCCTTACTGATATATTGTTTAAGGATGCTCCAAGTTATAGATTGTCAATGATACATGCTTCTATTGAACTGTTAAAGGGAAGCTCGGATCAGTTTTAGGGTTGTTATTCCCCTCATTTTGGGAATTTAGGATGGCATTCTTCTTTCCTATATTTCATGGCTGATATATTGTATAAGGATGCTTTTTGGGAGGATTTTTGCCTTAGCTTTCTTCGTTAGTTTTTGCAAAGCATCTTTCTCTCTCTCGTAAAGGAGAGCCATCGGAGTTTGGATGTACATAATGCTACCCAAATGTGAGCTGGCGCTTGATTGTTGTAATGAATTTTCAGGTTAGAGATGAAGAAGGGAGGAGGAGGTTTCATGGAGCATTTACGGGTGGTTTTTCTGCTGGTTATTACAATACCGTGGGTTCCAAAGAAGGTTTTATCTGTTGCTTATCTATTTTTCTGGAATTTCATTCTTGCTTATTTTGTGTATACAGTTTGGAATATTGTTTGGTTGTGGTTGAAAATTTTCAGGTTGGACACCCCAGTCATTCACATCATCTCGGAAGAATAGAGCTGAAGTTAGACAACAGAGCATTTTTAACTTCCTGGATGATGATGAAAAATCTGTAAGATCCATCATTTCACTTATATTTAGTATTTGGTATTTCATACACTTAATGAAATTGGTAGATCTTGTATCATCTATTGATTCAATTCTTGAACCTCTCTGATCTAGTTGTGAGGACTATGTGATTGGCAGCTGAACTGAATTGTCATGCTTGGGAATGTGTTAGGGTTTAAAAGTTTCTTGAGAGTATATATAATACCTTGTCAAAGAGTTTAATGTAAAGGAAATAGACTTTTTTTCTTTTTTTTGGTAAAGGAAATACATTTGCATTTTCATGTTGAAAGATCTTCTATCAGTTTGACCTCTAGAACAAAACATGTCTTCTTTAGTTAATATGACTTTTCAGTTCTCTTACCTTCTTTATATTTTAACATTTGTCTTTTTTTTTTTTTTTTTTTTTTTTTTTTTTTTTTTTTTCTTCTTCCGTGTTGTGCTATTATTTATCAGTTTCTGCCACATTAGAATGATTACAGGATCTTTTTAAGTTGGATGTTGGTTAATAGAACATTTCTTTTTGAGCACTCTTGATAAATAAATTGTGGTATTCTGCTCTAGGAATTGGAAGGCCGTTCCATAGGAACATCCATGCAATTTGATACTTTTGGGTTCACAGCTGCAGAGCTTGCACGTAAACAGGCAGAGAAGGAACAAACACAAAGGTCATTCATTTCTTATGTATATGTGTGTGCATTACACTATGTTTGCTTTCCAAGATAATATAACCTTGATATTATAATTATAGCGTAAAGATTTTGTTACCCTTAAGAGAAATTTTACCATTAAATGTATTATTATGTAATTTTTCTGTCAGCACGGGCAACCACTTTTCTGAAAAATGGGTAAATTATTGATGCCATTTTTTTAACTTGCTCTCGGTTAGCAGCTAAATTTCAGTCTTTGTATCTGATTTTTAGCTTCTAGTTTTAGCTCTCATTGCGCTGTCTGGACTCAAGTTTCCACTTTCCAAGCTGTAACAGGTTGATTATTTAATCTGAAATTGCTTTCCGATTCTTAAAAATATTTATTTTGACCCTTTTTTGGGTTTTAACTGGATTATATTAGGTTGTATTCTTTTGTGGGTTTTATCACAGAGGTTTACTATTCAAAATATATCAAATAAAATAATTAATTTCTTTTTTTATACTATACATCTATTCTACACTTAAAATATCACATTAACATCTATTAATATCACATCAAACAACTATTTAAATTCAACTTTTTACTATTCAAAAATCCAAATCCAAAAATCCAAACCCAGAAACAAACACACTGTTATTGTTTGCCCTGCTATCTTTAGTGGAAGATGCAGTAAAATGTCAGGATTAATGGTAGGGAAAAAAACTCCCTTTGAATTTCTTTATTTATTTTTATAGTGTGTATCTCAACATCCATACTTAATTCCTGTCACATTCTGTATCTCAATTGCTTTATTGATAGAAGTATCATGGCTGTCTTGAGGTCCCAAAGATCGTATCATTAATGCAGCCTTTAATCCTAACGGGACCCTTTTGTTTTGTTCTTGAAGTTCATTTTCCACTGCTTTTAAACATGCAAGAACTTTCTAGTCTCTGACTATTTTCTTTCTCATGTATTGTAGACCCTCAACTATCCCTGGACCTCTTCCGGATGAGCTAATAGTTCCTGTTACAGAATCTATAGGTTAAATTCTGATATTGGTCACAGTTGATACAATATTTGCACTACATGATGTAGTTCCACTTTTCTTAATTTTGTTCCTCTAACGAGCAGGTGTTAAATTGTTATTAAAGATGGGATGGCGGTTGGGTCGGTCTATAAAGGATTCTAACAGAGACTCACGTTATGGTGTGATTTTCCAGACTTTGGAACTTAATCTTTCTTTCTTTACTTTTATTGTTTGCAGAGATAGTTGAACGATGGGATATTGAGATAGCCATCATTGAGTAATGTTGCAATTATTGTGCCTGTGCAAATGAGCTTTTGTCTGATTGAAAGAGATTATACTATGTTGCAATTAATGTTGTAACTGTTTGCTTCGTGCGGTGCTAGGGGTAGTGAAGAGTTATGGTTTTGCTATAATTCGTTTCTCCGTTTCCTATGGGCCTAAGTTGTCTAATGTATAAAATTTCCTTTCCTTAAATACATTCAGGGAGAGAACCAGTTATCTTGTGTACGGTCCTTATCAGTGCATTATATCCTTGACGGTTTGATATCAGTTTGTCTTTCGCTTTGAGATCTTTGTGTGTTTTTAACTAAAGTTGTTCCTTCATTTACTCTCCTTTCTACTGTCAATTTGCACTCAATTCCCTTAGGAGAAAACTCTGTTGTCATGTTTCTGATTGATGTAATTTTATGAGTGGATTGTGCTTCTTGATGTCTTAATGAAGAGAAAACTCAGTTCTCATGAGTATGATTGAAGTAAATTCATATCACTGGATTGTGTTCTTGGTGTTCTAACGAAGAGAAAATTCAGTTATCATATGTAGTATGTACGATTGAACTAACTTCATGTCTCTGGATTATATGCTGTGTCCTAATGATGAAGGATCGAGTTATTATTGTTGCTCTCACTGATTTCTCAAGTTTTGAATAATGACCTTACTGCATTGTGTTGATGAAATGAATGTATTGGTTAGGAAATTGATGTGATTTGAAATTTTGAATACTATCTGATCATATCAGCTTGTACATCATTTCAACCACCTTCTATTGGACATCATTTTTTTATGTTATATCTGTTGTTATCCATGTTTTCATTCTTTGGTTCTTTTGAATTCTAATTCTTCTGCTTGTGCAAACAAATGCAGCATTTGAACATTATTTTCGCCCATCTGTTCCTGGTTTTCCTACATTTTCTATATCATATTTTCTTATATTGTTTGCTTATGTTTCGATTATGTTTGTCATTCTCGTGAAGATGCTCGAAGAAAAGGTAGAAAAGCATTTTTGGCGTTGTCTGACAATGCGGGTTCACAACTAGCTGACACAAAGTTTGATGAAGAAGATAATGCAGAGTTGCCATCTGATATTGATAAACAATTCACTAGAAACATACCGGTTAGATTTATGTGTTTCTGGGAGCTAAATATATTGATTGGTTGTAATTTATATGTAGTTTAGTATCCTTCCTGCCTGCTTTTAGATTATGCTTGTTATATTCTCAAATCTGAAGGATTCATGTTTGCTTAATACAATTATTGTTAGTGCAGGTAGGGTGAGTTTAAAAGTATGATCTTTCAAAGAATCTGGAATGTTTCACTATGTATGGTAGTTGGTTTAAAGATTTCTACAGATATATAACCTATCCAAAACAACCAAATGCATAACTTTATAATCAGTCAATCATTAACTCCATCTAATTCAACTTCTAATGTAATACTCATTTTTAAATATATGATGACCATAAAAAACTAATTATTACTCACTTCCCATTACACAATTCAGTAAAATATATGTAAAAATAAAGCTGTAAAAATCAAATATATGGCCAAAATTTCTTCACATACATATTTTTATTTCAAGATTGCGCAAAGATATTATTTCACAATCTCTTACTCACAAGCAAACAAAGCATCTTTTTAGAAGTTAGTGAACTTGATTGGCTTCACTTTAATGCCATGGTTAATTATTTCCTGTCATTTTGACAAATCCATAGCTGGTGGTTCTGTTTAAATTGCATGTAGTTGTGAAGAAATTTTTATGAAGGATTATGAAGAGCTATGATCAATATACAATTAACATCAAGATTTACTTGAGGTTTTACTGTTTTAGTGCTTCTCATGTGTAATGCTAAGCTCTTTTTCACATGATATTATTCCCTTGTAAACTGAATTGATATGCATTTCAGAATTGAGCATTTTATCAAAATGTTACAGTGGAAGAGCTGAAACCGATTTATAGTATTTTCTTGATATTATAATCAAAGATAAGGGTTAAATGTACTTTGGTTGAGTTTCTAATTGATGCCTGCTCATCTCTATACAGTTAGGTGTTATTTCAATAGATTTTGGGATGTCAGGTGTTAAATCTACGTTATAGTCATAAAAGAACAGAAAACAGCTATTAAAAAGAATGAACTGTGATATCTTAACTGGAGCATACTGCAGTGCTTGTGTGTTTGTTTATGAGTATAATATACTTTCGTGTTTTTGTATGAATATAAATATACTTAACGTGCATATGTTTAATATCTTTTTGAGTCAAATACAATGTTGGTAAGAAAAGATGAATACAAAGAATTTTATAATTTGGTACTTGACTCCAGTTCAGGTGACATGGGACATGCACAATGGCAACATGTGAAATTGTACTTAGAAATTTCTTCATTAAATGACATATAAGAGGGATGGGTGGAATGCACTCTTTTAATTATATTAGGGACAATAGATGTTGTACAATATGAGGTTGAGTTATTGGAATAGAAGGCCTCAAATTATATTTTTATACAAATATCCCTAAGGTTCACATATTTTTGCATCATGATGTGGCGGATGCTTCTTTTCTTTAGGCTTATTCATTCAGACTAACATTTTTATCTTTTATCGTTTTTGTAGGCATATGTACGCAACCCAAAACAAGATATGCATGGATTAGGCTACGATCCTTTTAGGCATGCTCCAGAGTTTAGGGGTATGCCAATTTCCAGTGCTTAGATAATTAACCCCAAAATGTATTATTTGTTCTCCTTACAATGTATGTAACTGTTTTGCTCTACTTTTAGAAAAGAAAAGGCAAAAAATGTCTGGATATAAGGGAATGGAGCATTATAGGTCTCTTTCCATAAAGGGTAAGCACTCCTTTTAGTTCTCTCAACTTAGCGTAACACCAATATTTGTTTTGTTTGCACCTTTTCCAAATTGTCTTCATATATGCTTTCAGGGAAGGTTGGCCCTGGTTTCGGTATTGGTGCTCTTGAAGAATTAGATGCAGAAGATGAGGATGTATATGCATCGGGTTAGTGATCTTTCTTCTTGTTTTAGTATATGCGACTAATTTCTTCAGCTCACCATCTCAAGTACATTTCTTTAGGCAAAATTTTTTGTTGATCTCTCTCTTTTTTTTTTTTTGATTCAGTAGGGTATATATATATATATATATTTATCTTGTAAATGATGTAGAGCTTCTGCTCATATTAAGAATAAACAATCCACACTTAATCTGCGACTGGGCCAACACTAGGTTCATTCTGAAAATTCTGATGTTTGAAAAAGTGAAAAGAATTAACTCCAAGGGGATATCTAGCAAATTTCCAAAACTGTAGAATAAAAAAACAGCCAATTTTTTGTCAATTATGAACTAAAAGATCTTTAGTGTGTGTAAATTTGTTGAGTCATTCTCTTAAGCTAATACACACAGTAGGATTTTAAGTGGTGTGTGTATTTGGAAAATATTGAACCTTGGAACGGTTTAAAGTTTCAACTTCAAACATTGATGGACTTGAGACCTCAACAATGATAAAATGATTCTGGAATGCTAGTCCTTGAATTTCTTTGGAATTCATTAATCCTTATCCATGAGTTTTAATAATGGGCTACATGTTTTTAGATATTGATCAAACGAAGGAAAGGAGTTACATAATTCTATCTCTAGGAATTTGTTATAACTTATTGATCTCACCCAGCTAATAGCAATTAACCAAAGAGATAGTTTGGATGTCATGCCATCAAGCTAATATTCTGAATTAAGTGTTGATCGATTTTCCAAACAGCCAACTGAGTGGTCTGGTTTCGATTATCTTTTAGACATTTGCACGACTGAGGTTTTTATTGCTGTGTTGCACCTTTCGTTCACTTACTTGGGAGCCTAGTTGGTGCAATAAGCAATAGTGTGGACTGTGGAATCCTATCTTAGAAAAAGTTGAAAGCAAACTTAGACGGAGGAGCGGCAAGCTTCTATCCTTCAATGGTCTCATCACTCTTGTCAAGTTAGTTCTGTCAAATATCCTACCATATCTTGTCCATTTTCAAGATTTCCAGCCACAAGTGTACCCGCTGAGAGATCAAATTTAGAGCTCTTGTTTGGGGCGATTTGGATGAGGGCCATAAATGCATCTCGTTAATTGGGGGATCCTATGCATAAGGAAACATTTGGGTAGAGCTGGCTTAGTCTCTATTTGCGATATTAATCAAGCTCTACTAATAAAATTGGCTTGGTGTTTCCAACAAAATGATAAAATGGTATTCCTTGGAAACAAGTAATCTGCGGTAAATATGGATTTCACTTGGGGGTATTTTGTCTTTTCATGCCCTAGATTAGAGTTTGTGTTAAAGCTTGGGCTTCAACAAAGGGACAAGGGGGATCACTATTTTTGAGGGAATTTAGCAACAAAGGGGGAAGGGAAGAGAGCATAGTTATCAATCACGGATAGCGGTGCGAAGTGGTCAATATCTAAAATGCTATAGCGGAATAGCGGATAGCGATATGACCGTTATTTAAATATTTAAAAATATATATAAAAATTATTATATATACAAAATTACAACAATAATACATAAAAAAACCTATAAATTAATTTCATAATTACCATTCAAACCAATAAATTGTCAAAAAAGAAAAAGATACAATCATAACTGTTAGTTGTTAAATCCGCCAAAGAATTTTCTTCTTCATTTTCGTCTTCCTCACTGTTTAATTACTCTTGTCTATGTATTCTTCCTCATCTTCTTAATTCTTATCCATTTATTCTATTGTATGTTTGTCACCTTACAAAATATCATTTTCTTTTTTAGAGTAGAAGTACCTTTAGTTTTCTTTCTCATTCATATTCTGATGTTTGGATCATAGTGTAGAAAGCAGACCCGTTAGCTATAGTAGCATCAACTATAATTTCCTCAGTCAAATTATCATTGTCACAGACTAACTCATTATCCGCAATTATCAAATTCTTCAATTAATATTTATTGGAATCATCAATATTGTTTAAAACAATAGGACCAATCATATCATTGCTACCATAACAATCTAACAAATTTTTGGTTATACTTGATATAAACCAAATCTTGAAATTTTTGGCTTTCTAATTTGTTTCTTTTTTTTGGAATAATCTAAAATTTAGTTAAAATTTAAGATAAATATTAATTTTTTTTTCGTCTATATTATAATGAAAAAAAAGGTGAAAGATTTCAATTATTTATATGTTAAGAAATAACCCAATGAGTTACAATAACGTGTAGCGTAACGTAGTGGAGTGCCGCTATAGGCTGCTACGCTGCTATTACGTTAACGCAGAATTGCGGAGCGGTCGTAGCGACAACGTGCCTTTCCGCTGACAACTATGGAAGAGAGGAAGCATGTTGGTAAAAATCAACAAAGAGAAGATGGGGTAGGGGGACTATACTGGAGGAAGTTTTGAAATTCGCTTCACTTCTGTTTCTTTTTTAGGCTTAATTATTATTTATCATAAACTAAAATTCAACCTACTTTTTTCTTCTTTGTGGTTTGAGTTACAAAGCAGATTTTAAATTGCTTGAACCATTGTTTTTCTTTGTTTTGGTTTCCTTGCAAGATATTCCTTTTCTATTGTCTAATTTCCGGCATTTCTAAACAGGTTATGAATTTCAAGATAATTTTGTGCAAGAAATTGAAGAACCTTCAAGAGTGAATGTGGATAATTTGCGAATATTAGATAAAAAGGGACAAGGTGTCCTGCTTGGTTTCAAAGCTGCAACTTCTTCTGATGGCACATTAGAAAGGTAGTTATTCTTGCAGTTTTCTTCATCTTGAGTAGTAATTTAACAATATTTTTCGTCAACATGATTTCTTTACTGAATCAATATCTAAATTAATGGTTTAACCATGAAGGCAAAAATGAATTAAATTCTATACAATCTGCTTTCTGTCGGCTATATTAGGCCTATTGTTTGGGCAGTTAGCTTGTTGGAGTTGTCATTTTTCATGCTTTTGCCTTAGTATTTTGGTTTGCATCATCTTTTATGAGCTTACTCTTCCACAGATTTATTTCTTCTATATCCTTATTGAAAAATCTTCTACATTAATTCTCCTTGGGAATTTAGGGTTTGTTTTTTTACCAAAAATTTTCCAACACATTTCCCCAAAAAATTAAGATACTACACACATTTATTATTTTTATATTATCTACACAATTCCCTACATCTCATATCAAAAAAAAAAAAAAAAAAAAATTTCAAACCAAAACACAAAACAATCACACCCCTAGTATTTAAAACTGTTCTCCTTGATGAATTAATACCCGTTTTCTTTTCAACACTCTCTACATGACCTTTCATATTCTAAGGTTATCGGATTAGATTGAAGGGAGGTAGTCTAAATCAGTCTCATTCTAGTTTGCTTATTGTTAAATTTGAACTTCATTGAAATGTTGAGGATTAGTTTGTCAATTTCCATTATTTAAAGATACATCAATACCATTCAAAGTTTGACTTGGTTTTTCCTGATTTTAAGAGGAAAAATGAATCAACATATAGTTTTTAGTCCTAATAAACAACTGATATACAGTATCTAAGGTATTACTGATCAAACATGCCCGGAGGGAAAATGATATGGTGATAAGTCATTCCTCATTTATGGTGGGGTGAAGAATAGTATACTATACAACTACACCAATTGATTCGTTTGTCTAAAAATACAAATGTATCTACCTACCTACCAAATATAATGAGATACAAAATACATGATATTAAATGTAGAACAAGCATATCCTACCACCTCCCCTCAATGATTCTCTGAACAGCTCTAGCTATTTCCATGGCGTGAATGGAGTTGAATTATGAGTTCTATAATTCTGTGACCAACAATCAGTCCACCTTTATATGCCTTGTTCTCTGATGGAACACTGGATTACATATGAAGAGCTCGGAATGATGATTGTCCATTTTATGTATAACCCAATTCTTCCAATATATTAAACTGCCAGCATCAGCATTAATTTGGTTTCAATGTTATAGCACACAGTCTAGAGATAGCTGTTTCCTTCTTCAAGTCAAAAGATTCTTTTAGATCCTGTCTTTTATATTGTTAGATTAGGCCTGGTTATTTTGGTTAGATTAGGCTTGCACAGGTTACTTTGTATGTATATTTATTTGTACTAATTCTTAGCAAGTACATATTGTTGAGCATATAGACTACATATTTACATAAACCATAGTCATTCACATATTCTGCATTGGCATTTGTTTTGATGCTATAGAATATAGATTCTAGCCCATTGCAATCTTTCATACCTGTGTTTATTTACGTATTCTTCTTGTTATAGTTACATGGGCACCTTGTTGATCTTTATGTCAGTGATTTGGGTTTTTAGTGAATATTATCTGAGGTTCGGAAGGAGATTGGGAGTGCTGAAGAATCCTTTAATCATCCTCTTGAGAGAATGTATGTCGTTATCATGGTCGTAAAGAAGGGGAATGAACTGAACAACAACAATTAAATGTATCAGTATTTTAATCCTTTTCCTATTCTACATTTTGATGGGATTAAAACAATTTTTCGTCCTCTTCTCTCCTCTTGACTTTCTTAAAATGGATTGTCAAGTATATACTCCTTTTTCTACTGAAGCATCCTACCAAGTACATTGTATGAGTAAAGGATGGGATGGTTTGTAAAATAGTTTCATCATCTCTAGTTATGATGTAAATGGCACTAGCAGTTATATTTCTCAATAGCTTGTACCACTTTCATACCACTTTAGGTTTATATCTGATATTTATTGGTGATAAATGCCGGCTTATTGTGAATGGTATTTGCAGATTTTATCCACCTACAATTCCAAAGGACTTTGTTCCCCACCATAAGTTTACTTCTCCTCTTGAATATGGTGGCCGGAATGCTGAAATTCCTCCCCCTGAGGTCCCTCCTCCAGAAGATAACAATCTGAAGGTTATGATTGAAGGGGTGGCTACTATAGTTGCTCGCTGTGGAAAATTGTTTGAGGATCTCTCCAGGGAGAAGCATCAGTCAAATCCATTATTTGGTTTCCTTAATGGAGGAGAGGGATCTGATTTTTATGCAAGGAAACTCTGGGAAGAGCGCCAAAAGCGTGGTGTACAACCCAAGCCACTGGATGAGAAAATGCCTTGGAAATCAGAACAGCTAACTGCTGAAAACAGAGGGAAAATGTTAGGTGAAAAACCACTGCAAAGTAGCTCAAAAGGACCAGACTCTTTGGATGCTTCAAGTGCTTCTGTCAATATCCAATTTCAACTCTCCGATACCTTCACCAAGCCTGCTTCTGCTGTGAGTATTTCTAACTATTACTGTTGATAGAACTGACTGGTCATAATTAGCATATTAGTGCTTCTTTCTAATGAGCTATGTTAATGTTTTTCATTCCTTTGAAATTTGTGATAAAATGAACAGCCAGATTCTACTAAACCCTTCCATGACGATCCTGAAAAGCAGAAAAGGTTTGAACAATTCTTGAAGGAGAAGTACGAAGGTGGTCTTCGAACTAAAGATTCTGGTGGTGCCAGTAACATGTCAGAATCTGCTCGTGCCCGTGAAAGATTAGAGTTTGAAGCTGCTGGGGAAGCCATGCGGCAAAAAAGTTCAGGAGACAACAGCAGGGTCACTAGTCAGTTGCTTGCTGATTTGTCAGCCTCTGCTGGGTTACAATTTACTGTCGGTGGGAGTGGTTCTGAGGTATATTGGTTACATTGCAGATTTATAGATTTATGTTATGGTTTCAGCTAGCTAGTTCCATGCCCTAACTTCATGACATGAATGGCTGTGTGCAGAAGGATGTACAGCAGGATGCAGAAGCCATCGCTATAGCATTGTATCCCAAAAGGGAAGAGTTTCAGTGGCGACCTGCGCCAATTTTATGCAAGCGATTTGATTTGGTTGATCCATACATGGGAAAGGTAGTAAGTCTTATGGTTTATATTCTGCCATTTCAATCAGTAGTGATCCTACTCTCTCTCTCTCACTTGTTCATTTTCACCTAATATGCACATCCATTTTTATTTCTGTTGGAGTTTTTAATATTATTGATGTGAAGCCAAGAATCAAGACAAATGTATATAACAAAAGTACTATCGTCATACATGCTTTTGCAGGGAAAGTAAGCATATAGAATTTATATGATGATCAATTGATTTCAACCACATCTGTTAGAAGCTCGTTAGGGTTTTAATTTCTTTTGGTGTGACCATACTTTATTTATTAAGTCATGCCTGTATAAAATGTAGGCCATATTTTGGACTTCAGGTCTTACTGAATCCAATTTAGTCTAACAAATCCTAATCTTTAGTTAAACAAAACCTGTTCTAGATTTGCACAAAATACTGTCAGCCGCTGTACCTATTAGAGATGATGCATCTAAGACCCACCGAACTTGATAGAGAAGACGTCACCACCACCATAAGTTGATAGGAAGCCGGACCAGCAATGCACTGCACATTGACATTATGCTGTTGGCATATACGGATATGGAAGAGAGATTGCAAAACACTGAACAACTAGCAGGAGTTATGAAATACATGATTTCTACTTCTATAGGATTGTCATCTATTTCCTTGCGTAGACATGTAATAAAGCTTTCCTAGTCAATTTGCAGTGGGTGCTCCAAATAATTAAATAGAATTCTTATTGGATAGAATTCAGTACAAGTAGGACAAATTGCTATTAGGATTAATGCATTATGTAGGGATTTAGTATATTCCTGTTGTTATTCATCAAGTTTTCATAGGAGATCATTTACTCTGCTTATAGAAATCCAACCTATAATTCTTATATTCTGAATTGGAAAATAAACATAACTGTTTTACTTTTTAGAAATCTGTTCCTGCGTTAAGTGCTCAACTTGATTCATCCTTACTGATGCATATGGTAGAACTCCCAATATAAGAAGAATGCTAGAAAGGTGTTTGCTTTTAGTTGCTGTGCACTACTAGTTCATGTTAAATCAGAGAGCTGCTCGTGGAATAAGACTGTTAAAATTAACTGATGCTTTTGGGTTCGCAAATGTGGGTTATTGGTCATTGCTGTGATGATATTGTTGAGAGGTTAGAATTAGGTGTCACCTGTAGAACAGACATTGATGCTACTTGGTGCTGTAATTGGGTTAACTAAGGGGGATTTCTGGTTATTCTTGCTAGAATATCACATTTTAGTTTGAATTAAACACAAATAAAATGAATGCTGGTTCATCACCTATGTTTGTTGACTTACTTTTGGTTCCTGTTCTCTTCTCATGGATTCTATTCGAGAACATATTGTGTTATGGTTTGTCTATCAAATGCTCTTTCTGATAAGTTAAATTGGGTGTGTTTACTTGTGTTTTGAATTGTTTTGAGTGCAAAAAAATATTTCACTGTAGATTGATTAGAGTGAAAATGGAGGCATAACAACATGACACACCCAATATTTATCTTGACATTATTTTCTTATCAATGTAGCCACCAAATATTCTCTTTATTTGACATTATGTGCTTGTCAATGTAGCCACCCCCTCCTCCACGGTCAAGGAGCAAATTGGACTCTCTAATTTTCATGCCTGATTCGATCAAAACTGCAAACACGCAAGAACATATTGCGAACGATCTGGGTTCGTCCGAGGTTCTACAATTGCATGGTGCAAAAGGCAGAAAAACAGCTGCTAATGAAGTTGAGACTGAGGTGGAAGTTGAAAATGTTGAGCGGCCTGTCGATCTTTACAAAGTATAATTCTTCCTTTTTCTTTTTTATTTTTTTCCCTCCAATTATTTATTCATAGTCCTGATTATATATAATTGGGTTTCTATGAATGTTCTTCTTTTCAGGCAATATTTTCTGATGATTCCGAGGATGAGGAAAACAAAGCGGCACCAGAAGAACTGGAGGATACAGAAAAGAAGATAGAAGTTGCGAACACAACATTGAACCGACTAATGGCTGGGGACTTCTTGGAATCACTGGGGAAGGAACTGGGGCTAGCCGTTCCTCCTGAGATGCGACTGCCGGAGAATAAAGCTGGTGCACGGGTTGCAGTAAAGGAAACGGATTATACCGATAAAGGAATTGTGGATTCTCCAGCTGGAAAAAAGTTTTCAACTGCTCATGATGTTGCTGGCAGTTCAACAATTGGAGCAACTGCTGAAACTAAACCTGATGATCGAAACAACACTCAAGAAACGAGGACCAAACTTGTAGCGCCCACAGGGGGAGGTGAAAACAGCAATTCAAAGGTCCTGTCCACGAAGAATCTTGAAACTCCTGGAACTCGGAAACAGAGTAGAAGCAGCAGTTCATCAGAAGATGAAAGGAGAAGAAAGAGATCTAGGAGTCGAAAGCATCAAAGCAGCAGTTCGGATAGTGATTCATCTGAGGATTCCGATGATTACCATGATCGCCACAGGCGCTCTACGTCCAGAAGAAAAGACAAGGAAAGGAGGCGAAGCAAAAAACATTCGAAGCACCACCACCGGAGCAAACACAGACGGGGAGATTCTTCTCCCAGCCGATCCCATCGTAGCTCTGAAAAACGCGAACACCGGAATTCGAAGAATAATAGATATGAAAGGTGAGGGCAGTGGTGGTAGAGTGGAAAGACAAAGGTTTCGATGATGCTATTTTCTTTTATGTCTGTTTGGCTGGATTGCTTTGTGTATTTTGTACTACATTTCAGAAGCAGTATATACTGAGAATTGTTTTGCTGCATTACAATTACAGAATGATCGAAAGTAATGGTGCACTTTGTTGGATCTTCATTGGTATGTGGGGCGGGCTCTGTTGATTGAGTTAGTTTGCTTTGTGGGACTTGAATCAAAGGTATTTTAAAATTATTTTAATTTTAAAAAAACTATGCTAGAATTAAAACAAGCAAAAATAATGAGATGAAGTGGTGTATATATATATATTTTCTCAATTTCAAGATTTGTCTCTAAAATACAATATAAGTTTTTAGTATGTATGTGACAAATCCAGATAAACGAAGTTGTAAGTCTAAGGTCTTTTCCAACCCACCCCTAAATTCCCCAATTTTTGCAAATATGTACATGTTACTCCATAATGGAGTAACACTATACCTTCACTCCATTTTTGGAGTAAAGTGTTTTGTGTATTTTGTGGGGTTTTTTGTATATTTGTATTTTTTTTGGGTGTATTTGTATAATTTTATTTTTTTAGGAGATGATAACCATGCTGACTTTTCACATTAGCACGCGTCATATATGCAAACAATACATATTAGTATTAGACATAACACATACTATGTATAATAAAAATATGTTCTGTTTTTTAATAATAACAAATGTACTATTTTTTAATAATAACAAATATGATGTATACGCTTTCTTGCTCGTGCTTGTAGCTCTTCCTTATCTGTTTTTGGTCTTATCGCCTTGTCTATTGGTACGCTCAATGTCACCTAAATTCCTTCAACTCTCTTATGTCAAAGGAACTGGTCACTTTGTCAATCTTCTTCAATCCTAGGTAAACTCGGAAGTTTGGGATCAGGGAAGCATTCATTTACGTTGAAGCCAATAGGGAAAGAGTTTACACCGACCTACCAATCCAAGCTTTACCACAGATCGATCCGAAGCATCGTGTGCTAAAATCATTCATGTGTTATTAGTTCATGTGATGTATTTGTATTATATTAACATATATTGTTTATAATATTATTATGTGTTGTCTAATAAGCACACGATGCACAATGTTGAATTTTAAATTCAACACTGCAGCCGCCTTCATAATTTTATATTTTAAAAAGTGATTTTATTTTTTAAAAAAATAATGTATAATTTTATTTTTTAAAAGTGCTGTAATTCTAATTTTTGGAAAGTGATATATAATTTTGTTCACTTTAAAAACAAAGCATGATTTTAATTTTTTTAAAAGTGATAATTTTATTTTTGGAAAGTGATATAAGTTTAATTTTATAAAAATAATGTGTCATTTTATTTTTTAAAAGTAATATATAATTTTATTTTCTTTAAACATAAATTATATATGTATGGATTATAACGTAAAATAAATTAAAGTTGAGGTGTAATTTATAAATATGAAAGTTATATAAATAATATAAAAGAAGAAAATATAAAGAATATATTTTTTAGAGTGAAAATTGAAGTTTATTATTGAAGTAAAATTACTATAAATCAAGTGTATTTTTACTTTAGCTACTGCAAAAATAGAGTGTAGAGTTGGAGATGAACTAAGAGTTTGAATAACACTAAAAGAAGTGACGGTAAGTGGTTGAAAACAATTTGTATAGTTACAAAAGCATAAAAATTAAAATAAACAGACACACAGTTAAACAAAATGTTGCTGAGTTGTCTAATTTGCAATGGATCGAATCCGTCTCAAATGTTGCTGAGTTGTCTAATTTGCAATGGACTGTGTCGGTTGCAAATTCCGTGCAGTTACGAATACCAATCCTCGTCGGTAGACTTGCCCAAACGGTTCAAATCGCCGATTACGATTTATCAGAATTTCAAACTAAAATCGAATCGTCCGAATAACGGTTTCGATTACGGTTTATTACGGTTTGACGGTTTCGATTACGGTTTACGAAACCGACGGTTTCGGTTTAAAAACCGCCGGTTACGGTTTGAACCCACCGGTTTATATTACTCTTTTTCTGATTTTTTTAATATTAATTCTTACGATTAATTTTCATTCCGATTTTAATTTATTAAATCTTTGTATTTTTGTGAAAAATTATATAAATAATACTTCGTTTTTATAAAATAATTATTTATCAATTTATTAATTAAGAATTAAGAATAAAACTATAATATATACAATTGTTTAATAAGTTAGTTTTTAAATTAAATCACATTATTGGAATTATTTTTTTTAAAAAAAAATCGCCAAAACCGTCGATTTCGGTTCGAACCGCCGGTTTGCTCCATCAAATATCGGTCGTCAAATATGCGTAAATTAATATTGACCATTCACTTAAAAAAAATAAACCAACCCAAACCGCTGGTTCAAACCGAAACCACCGGTTTCGATTCCAAACCAACGGTTTCGGTTTGAAATTTAGCCCGCCCAAACCGTTCCAAACCGCCGGTTTGGGCAGGCATAATTTTACAAATATATATATATATATATAAAATATATTGTCCAAACCGCCAGTTCAAACCGTAAACCAGCGGTTTGAACCGGCAGTTTACAGTTTGGCTCAAACACAAACCGAAATCAAACCGTCGAATTCACAGTTTCGGTTCGGTTTGAGCCTGGTTTCGGTTCAAACTGAAATCGTTGGTTCGTAAATCGGAAAACCGACGGTTCGAATCGGCGGTTCCGAACCAAATGAGCAAGTCTACTCATGGGTCCCTTCGTTACTTTATGGGATACACCATATGTGTAGGATAAAGGAACAGTGTTTCTTTAGGCCAGATGATCTCGTAGGAAAATGAGGACATTTTGGGTGTGTTCCTTTAGGCCATAGTTTCCCAAACCTACTGTTAGATTACTGTGTGAGCAATTTTGGGCGCGAGACTGTGCCTACACCCGACAACCTCTGCATCTACACAAGTAGGTTTTGACTGTTTTATACTCATCCTTTATTTTTATTTGTTTTTTCTTTTTTTCATCTTCCTCATCTATCATAATCGATTTCCATCGTCCCCATCTCCACAAGCAAATTTGGAGGGTCCATCTCTGCATATCTCGGCGAGGGAAGCGTCCGTCTTGTAGAACTCGGCGAGGGTCGACGTTAATCGGGAGGCAGCGAGAAGACGCTTACCCTGCTCATTTCGTCATTCACGGTACGCCATAATTTCACTTCCGTTTTCGATTTTACGGGGGTTCGACAGATTTGAGTAGTCCGTAGGCGTCGTATTTACGTGGGTCTATTTATTTCAAGATTTTGTGCTACCGGGTTTAGGGTTTAGCCATAGTATTTCGTTTCACGGGAAGAAGTTCCCTGTCACATCGGGTTTCAGATTTCAAATAGGCATAAATGTATGGTACGCCGTTTACTTGAGGTAGGTTATTTTGTTTGTGTTGTGGGCATTTCTTAGGAAAAATTATAAGCATCGTGCCGCGCCTCCGGTCGCTCTTGGTCGGGTTCGACGCCCGGCGAGGAGGACGACCACGTTCGGACGCACCCCCCGTTACTCCTTCCGTTAGATCTTCTAACTTGGTCCGAAGACAGGAAGATGTACGTCATTACCTTAGTTAATGTGTGTCGTAATTTCGGGTTCGACATTTTGTAGGAGAACTTTGCTGTTACTCACCTCACAGTTGCTACGGGGGCGTGTGTACTCACGTAGTTTAAACTAGATTAGAATTCATAGAAGATGAATGTGTAAATTGTAGGAGGACGTTCTACCAAACTACATTTCGAAATAAGAATGCGCCAATGGTTTGGTCGTACTCGTAATAATGCCTGTCGGCATACGATCTTCGATCCCACTAGATGTGTGGAATCGGTAACAAAAAATGCACTCGTATTGTAGTGTTATTGTTGCTAAATTCGAGTGTCACCTAGAGCCTCGTCAACGTAGCTAGAAATGTAGCGGTGACGAATCGAATATATGAGTTCTCCTAAAATAGGTAAGTCGTTAAGTAGTCTCGTACTAACGTTGTCACGAGCGGGCGGATAGTCACACCGCCAAACCCGAATGGAGCCCCCTTGGAGTATGATATTGTGCGTATCCATATGATGCTTTGTAACTATGTCATGCTTTCGATTGAGTATTCCTTTGTTCCTTTCCAGTGGTGCACGGTAGGGGGTTCCCTTTGTACAACCACACTAGAGAACCCGTGAATAGCAATCTTCACGGGCCTTTATGTCCGATCGCGTATAAGGGGTGATCTTCGACAATGTCAACGAGGTACGCCTTCCTACATTTGGGATCCGGTAGGGGTGCGAACTTATGACGTGGCTATATGGAATGTTTGATGTACCTTAATCCCCAATAATCGTAATTGTTCAAGTCTTTCTTCCTATTGATTTGCAATAAATGTGCTTGCAATATTCCTATCTTCCCTGCTCTACATGTCCGTAAAGAGAGTGCGAAGCTGGAGGCACACCATGTCCCGGATGCCCATAGCTCCGTCGAGAGTTCTGTAATCGTCTATAGCCACAAAAGAAAATGAAAGATACCCATCTGCACTGCGCCGTCAATCGTGAAAGTACATTATTCCTTATGTTCTTCATAGTAATCGCTTTTGTACTTCGTTTCGTATTTTCTCTTGTTCTCCTTCGTAGATGCCTCGTCGCCGTGCTGTTGAGGGAGCTGTGCCCCGTCCCCCAGCACATTGGGATTACGAATTAGAACAATATTTCACTCACATATGTTGGACGCACTTTGTTGCCGAAGAAATGAAGGGGAAAAACTTTCCTCCAGAGGTGTGGTCGGAAATAGTAAAGGAGTTCTTCGAGGAAACGGGCTGAGACTACGATTACGAGCAACTCTATGGAAAATTCGAGCGGATGAAACTTCAATACGACCATCTACGTGACCTTGTTGTACGTCAAACAGGACTTGGTTGGGACGCGACGACAGGGGTGGTACTCGCTAGCGAGGCTTAAAAAGTTGCTTGGTTATCGGTAGCACTTTTCATCCCAACACATAATTAACGTAGGGGACTAGCGCATTCTCTGATGGTAGCAGTTGTGGAATTGCAGGCACATCCCGGGGACGGCCACTTACTGACGCGGCCGTTCGCGCACTTTGATTACTGTCATGAAATATTCAAGGGCTACTATGCCAACGGGGACGCCGGCCAATCGAACCGTGCCCCTCCACGCGGCATGGATTCGGCGCAGAGAAGGACGCAACGAACGGACCCCAGGAGTGCCGGTCCATCTAACGTTGGAGTAGAAGACCTACACGATGAGTTTGATGGTTCGGGCGGGACATCGACGATGAACGAGGACTATACCAGTAGCCCGTCAATGCAGCTCGTCGTCGGCGTGGGGGAATCTCAGTGAATGAAGAGTTCACACGGAGAATTGAAGGACAAATTCGGAGGGGGTACGAGATGATTCAACAGAGTTTACTTGGTAGGGACAATGAGCGCCGCGAGACTCTCCTCCAAGCGCAGACTATTCTTGACTCGTTCACCGATCTTCCCGACGTGGCGTTGGTCCACGCGTTACGTGAAATATCTTTCCTAGACCGTCGAGTGCTCTTCCTCTCGTGGATGCCCGTGAGGCAGAGAATGTGGGCCTTTTCTTTTGCGCCGCAGTAGTCATGGAACCTGATTTACGTTTTAAGTTTATGGAACCGACTATGTCATCTTACGTGGTCGTACCTTGTCTAGTAGTCGTTTGAGTGAATGTTTCCAACTGTGCCGCCCTTGCATGCGGCTAGAAGTACGCTTGATTGTTATTTTCGAAATTTCCTACATTTGATTTAACCTTCTTTATTCAGTTACTATGGCGACTAATATTGGAACGAACTCCAACGCCGACAACAATGGTAACGGCGGTTATCCTACCTTTAATGATAAAGAGTCTCGAGAGGAGGATGAAGAGGAAATCATCAGGTGCAATGAGTCGGACGAAGATGACCTATCGCGCGGTCAATCAATTATTTCACCTACTCCGTGATCACAATTTAATGTAATATAAGGGAAGGGATCGTCTCCACAGGGATTGTGTGATTCACTCTTTCGTATTCTAATGCAGTAAATAAAGGGGGATTTTATTTTATTATCTAATTAAAATAAAATAACAAAGCAATTAAATTAAAGGGGAACTGACTATCAAGAGGATGTCTGGCTCAAGGGATGATGCAGTTATGACACTTATGTTTTATCATTAATTCAATAAAATTAATTCTTATTAAAGTATCAATAAATTGGTTATAGTTATCAACAAGCTCTGACAACCAATTTTTCCTTACAGTGTAGGTAATTAAGGTACGACCGTTAACTACCCCTAATTAAGCAAATAAACCTAGGTGCGCCCATAAGAATATTGCCTAACCGCATTGTAATTTAGAAAAACCCAATTCAAAACAATTACTACCTAAGAGAAGCAATTAGATTTGATTGTCTAACCCCCGGGAAGGAACTATTCAACCCGGCTGTCACCTATTCAAGTGTGAATAGAATTACGAATATCCTACTTGAATTGACTTTAGATTATCAGACTAATTTAAATATTGGTACCAAAATATTCAATCAATCTAACAATCACAAACGCTATTATCAGAATTAGACAAATATTGATAATCAAAAAGAACTTTTATAAAGAAAATCAAGAATCTCCAAAACAAAAGAACCAAAACATTATCACCCCTCAAACCAGAAAAGTATCTACTCCATAATTAAATAACAAAGAACAAAAGAGAAAGATGAAGTCATAGTGGGAGGGGGAAATCTTCTCTGTCGATTTGCTCCTCCGCGATATATGGATATGTCAGTCTCCTGCTCCTGTGCGTATCTGCCCTAGCCGTTCTCCCCATTTTGAAACGTGTGATCCCTCATTTTATTTAATGTTTGCCTTAATTATTTTGTAGATGGGCTTTTGGGCCTTTAATTAATTTTATTTCTTTTTTTTGCCAATTATGCCAAATTTAATATTTGTCCTCTGCACACAGCAAATAAACAATTCGCATATAAATTAGGTAGAATCCAATCAAAATCACCCAATTATCGCATATGATATGAATATAAAACGCATGCGATTTCTAACTATCAGAAGAGCGGATGGAAGTAGCATACGTGGAGGCATTGCATGGCATGTCCGGCATTGCCGCAGCCGCATTTGTACAATGCTTGCAGCCAAGACGTTGCTACGACTCTTTGTTGAGTGGTTCAGCATTTACACAAGAGCTTATAAATGGACATCCGGTCAGGATTAAAAATCTTTTACGAGTGACGAAGGAGACTTTCCTACGTATGTGCGATACGTTGACTGTGCGAGGATTAATTAAACCACATGTACAGACGCGTGTAGGGGTTCATGAGGCTGTCGCGATCTTTCTACATACAATTGCCCACTCTAATAGGCATTGTAGCCGTGCGGAGAGATTTCAACACTCAACACACACCATCTGGCACCACGTGAAACGAGTAAGTGAGGTATTGTGTCTACTCAGATTCGAGGTCGTCTCCCCAGGAGATCAAAGTATCACTCACCCTCGCATTGCAAACAACCGACACTTTATGCCTTTCTTTAAGGTATAACTTGTCCTCTGTGGTCGTCATTGTACCTTACCACTTCAAATCGATACTATTGTACTATCCTATAACCTCCTTTACAGGATTGTGTTGGGGCCTTTGATGGTACCTTGATCCATGCAAGCGTCCCTGTTGCGGATGCACCGCATTTCCGCAGTCGGCACGGACATACCGAGCAGTCTATCTTGGCCGTTGTAGACCATGATATACGGTTCGTCTATGTATATACGGGTTTTGAGGGGAGTGCACACGACTCCCGGGTTCTAAATCACGCAATAGCCGTGTCACAAGACTTTCCTCTACCCCCGCCAAGTTAGTTTACCCACATTCGTACTCGAAGTTATCTTACGGGCGTGTACCCATGCCTACTCCTCTAACGTATGCGGGGTGTGATAGGTAAATACTATCTGGCGGATTCGGCATACACCAACTCCGCCTTGACACTTACACCCTTTCGCTCCCATCGCTACCATTCGCAAACATTTCGCGACACTCCAGGGGGTCCGCGTGGTCCGAAAGAATTGTTTAACTATCGACACTCTCAACTTCGCAATGTCGTCGAGCAAGCCTTCGGGGTTCGTAAGCAGAGGTTTGCAATCCTAAGAGGTCCAATGCCGATTTATAAGTTTTACCTGCAAGTAAACTTGGTCCAAGCGTGTGCTACTGTGCACAATTTGATGGTAGCGGCGGGCGAGAACGTAGAAAACCACGACGGAGAAGGCAGTGAACCTGCACTTGAGGAAACGGGGAACTCAACCACGGGCGACCCACTCCCGGATGAGTACCTGGAACTATTTGACAACCCACACAGGAATCAGTTTCGCGAACACCTTGCTAATAGAATGTGGACAAGCAGAGATTGGTAAAACGTAACGAGGGAATCAAAACTAATCCGTAGACGTATGGTAATTAGAATTTCTAAGTTAGGGCCCTTTTGGCCGTACTTTCAAATTCTGCATTACGGTTTAAATGTTGTAATGTATGGGCGTAATATATTAGCGTATACCGGTTTGTCTGTATGACAATAGAATTGGACATTCTTCGTATTCTATGTGCCGCAGTTGATTCAAGATATTGTCCCATGAAGTGCACCCCCGATGTGCTGTATGTGGAACACTCATGCCGAAGCGCATAAGCCGTACTGCTAAGAACTCTGGCCGTCCTTACTTTTCTTGCCCATATTGCCCTCGTAGGCAAGGATCCTTTTGGTGGTGTTCGGAGTGGGAGGCCACCGTGGTACAAGATGCCATAACACAACAACCGTTCACTGGGGGAGCATCAAGTACAACACTTGTAAGGAATGGGCAGAACAAAGGAACGCAGATGGGGGACTGGGAATTGTGGTTCCCTACCGAAACGGACGCAGAGCTTCGACCACATAAAGGGCGAACCTGCAAGTGGATAGTCATTTCAATGATCGTAGTGTTCGTCGTATGCTTCTGGCTTGTCATTTAAATCATGCAACCGTAGTCCCTTCATTAGTGTAATAGTTGCAAGCAAGCCTCAGCCCTAGTGTGTAACCTTTTGCCACTACGTGTAATCGATCGGTTCGACGTAATGGATGTTTAGGCAGAGCCAACATATCATTACAATTTTCCGATGTTCGTTTCTATGTAATCGGCATAGATGGTTATGTAGTGTGTTGAATGTGAATTGTAATGTTGACTTCGAAGGCTAAGTATGTCGTTTGATGTTTTATAGCGAACGGAGACAACGACGATGCCATACCATGTCACCTTTAATTGCGGAGACCCGCCATTGAGGAAAAATTCAGTTCATGCAATACTAGCGTGATCGTGCACAACCGTGCAGGGTGGGCTTTATTTTTCTGTTCCGGTCTTCATTGGAAGTCGAAAAAATGCGAAACATCATGCACGGCTGTGCGTATTGTGCCGTAGATCTCTGTTCGTGTAGAGCACGTATGGTACTTGTATTTATTAGGGGAAGCAGTGAAGCTAAGACACACTTGCATGGACGTGCATACGTACCTGCATCTCTCTGTTTCCTTTTGTTACCACTATCTGTTTTCTCCTTCGGCTTTGATGCACTGCCATGCGAAAGTACCTATTTTTTTCTGGCGGGCATTCGATTCGCGTGTAAATGCATTCCTTAATGCATGGCCGTACGAAAGTCCTATTTTTTCCCTGTTTTTTGAGTGGCCGTGCACTTTAAACTATTTACTAATATTTCTCCTTCGTTGCGTTTGTATGTTTTAGGTTATCCTTGCTGCCTATTCATCGGCATGGCACCCGTGAAGAAGAGGGCCAGGCATACTAAGAAAATCACCGGCGTATCTCCATCCATGGTTCCTGCCTCCGACGACCAAGCTTTGAGACCATTTGAGAACCCAGCGGATGCGGAGAAGTTCAACCGACTAAAGAAGGTAACTTTTCTTACCGGATGTTACATAACCTAAGAGGCAGTTGTTGCACTTAATGCAATGAGTAAGTGTGAGAGGTACCTCGGGGTGGGTGCTTGGGGACGTTTCTTCGATATAAAGGACGACACGCAACGTACGCTGACATTGGACTTCCTGAGTACCCTAGCCGTTGACAAGAAGCACTTGCACGAGTTCGACTATCCCGCCACACTTACCTTCCGCCTCGGCAATAAGAAGTTTCAGCTCTCTGTTACCGAATTTTCCGTTGCTATGGGCCTGTACGACAAAGAGTTCGCGAAGACAGTCGAGTACAAATCGTTGCAAGGAGAAATGCAAGACGCGCAGGAGCGGTATTGGATTTCCATCACGAACTCGAAAGTATACAATCCTAGAGTGTCAAAGGTGTCCGCACTCCGCTCACCTGCGTTGAGGTATATACATTATATACTTGCGCATACTTTAACAGGGCGTAACTCCAGTAGTAGCGTCGTCACGCGGGATGACCTAAAGTATCTATGGAGCATGAAGCGTGGGTTTCCTATCCATCTCGGGTATTGTCTTGCACAACTACTAGCTAGGCAGGCAGGCGACGGCCGTTTACAGGTCATATGTATCGGTCCGTTCGTGACTCGGCTGGCGCATGGACTAGGAGTCACGACGGGATTTGTGGAAAGCCCTTCGTCGAAGATGAAGCCTGGTGGCATTGACGTCCTCATGCAAATGGGCCTAATCCAGAGGCGACGACGTGGGGATCCGGTCACGCACATTGACAAAACTACGATCAATTCAGGCGAGCAGGGACCCACGTCCTCGGTAGATGCAGTCGTTGCCGGATTCCACCGCCATCTTGAGGAGATGGAGAAACACATCGAGGCTCACCTACTGGCGATTGAGCGCAGAGTTGATGTATTGTGCGCGCACTCTCTAGTGTTGGACGGAGGGCCATCCTCGTCGGGTGCATTGCGACTATCGCGTAAGTGATAATATACTTGTTTGCTCAATGAACAAACTTGGTGCATACTTGTATTCGGCGACGACATCATGTACTCGTTTTCCTTTCGACGTTTTGTTGGCTTAACCTAAGTCTCGGTCCGATTGGAATTGTACCGCCCGTCTGTTGGACGCCATATACGCATGATGTGATTTTGCCGTTGACGGTTGTTAACATTTTATTTTCTGCATACTCTATCATGTCGGGTACATTGGTCGTATTATATATTAAACGTAATTTGCACCAAAGAAATATTTTTTGCACTAGGCCGGCCGTACGTAACCGAAGGCTTCTACCAGGAACCATTTTTCCTAGAAGTTCTTCCGCGGGTAAAAGATCACACTTTATACTTATTGAATGTTCTTATGTAATACTCCCTCTTTCCCGGAATTTTTATCTGTTTTACTGTAGGCACGACAATTTATGAGGGGATACATAGACAATAATTTCAAAATATATTACTGGAAGTAAGCATCATGTAGTAAAAATAATTATAGATTATGATTAAGATAACTTATTAGTATAATTAAAATTAATGAAATTATAAATTAAATTTTTAAAAATAAGACTTAAATGTATAACACTGTTACAAATAATAACAAAATTAAGGGAACGAACAAAAATAAAAAGGTGGACATAACAAGTGGTATGGACGGAGTATAAATTAATTAATTAAACTAAATTAATAATGACATCACTGCAATAATTATCTACCACATCACTACTCAACAAAACCCACTAAATCCAAATATAAACCTACTACACCAAAGGAACGCGGATTCCCAAAACTCTTAAAAAATTCAAATCCAACCCAAACTCAAACCAAATCTTCCCAAACCCAACATAAAGAAGGTAGTGTCTAAATGTTTGATAAAACTTGAAAAGTTATTTTTTGAAAATAATTCAGCGGACATGGAATTAGAGATTTTATCGATTACGAAATTGGAATTGGGTAAGAAAATAGTGTACATTGATACTTTTGATTAGAACCGTTTTGAAACTGTAAAAACTGTAAGTTAATGATTGTAAGTACTGCTTTTGTGTTGTTTCCGTATGTAGATAAAATTTTTGAATATTAATCGTGTTAATAAGTCCGCAAGTTAAAAGACTGGAAGCAATTGATGATTCGGACTGTGATGACACCCACTTTTAAAGCACATTCTCCATGCCCAAAAATGTGGAGATTTGTGGAGTTTTGGGCCAATGAATTAAAGAGACCCAATACAAATACAACCGACCCGCCCATTTGAAGCCCGGATCTGTACCCCGCAACCCGACCAACATCTTTGAGAGACATGGCTGGATCTGAACCGGTCATGTCTGAACGGCAGCTACTTGATATATTGCTGCTCTGAATCGGTTCATTCATTCAGATTAGATACAGAACAGAGAAAGAAAAAATTCAAGAATAAATTCACAACAATCAGTATAAAATTCTAATTCAAAATTTATAAAACTTATGAAATTCTATAAATAAATTCAAAATTAATCTTATTCAAAACTAAATTCAATCATAATTCATAATTAAAGAAAAAATATCTAAAAAAATAAAATAAAAATAAATTTTAAAAATTCAAAAAATAAAAAATAAATATTTGTTATGAGATTCAAAATATACCTTTGTATTTAAGAATTTTTCATATTTAAAATTATTATTGATTTTTAGTTGTAATAATTTAAAATTTAATCACATAAATTTGTATGAATTACTCAAAAGTCATATAATGTTTATTTGAATATATAAATGTATTACATAATATATATATTTAAACTAAAATAAATAATTTAATTGGAAAATAAAAAAAGGAATATTCTATATTTTATACAATATCACAAAATTTATATCAATATTTTAATTTCAAAAAAATATTATAAATTTGTTTAGTTATAGTTTTATTAATTATAATATTAATAAAAGTATATTATTAAGAACGAAAAAAAAAAAGAAAAAAAAAACAAATTGACTCACTCATATGCTATATAGATAAATAAAACATAGTGATAAATATGTATAAAATTCATTTAAACCTCATAGTTATATTATAATAAATATACATTCAAACAAATATAAATCATAAATAAAATACAAAAAAAAAAATAATTTGGAGAAGAAAATAATTATTATATAAATTTTATTCATATCTTTGATATGATTATTGTGATAGATGTTATTGTAAATTAAAAATTGTAAATTAAAAATTGTATATATCGTTGAATAATTAAAACTATTTGATAGATAAGGTTTGTGATACGTGAAAATAAGATGTGAATATGACATTCTATAGACATTTATATTATTGAGTTGTGTTAATTACGAATGTAATTATTATTAATTACATGTTTAAATAAGAATTTAAAATTATTAAATTAATTTTAAAATTAATAATTTTTTTAAAAAATTAAAAATTGTTAATTACTAACATAATTATTATTAATTACATATTTAAGTTAGAATTAAGAAAATATTAAATTAATATTAGATAATAATATTTACA